AGGAGGAGGAGGAGGAGCAGGAGCAGGAGGAGGAGGAGCAGGAGGAGGAGGAGGAGGAGGAGCAGGAGCAGGAGGAGCAGGAGCAAGAGGAGGAGGAGGAGGAGCAGGAGGAGGAGGCAGAAAATTGAGAGAGAGAGGCTGTCATCCAGAGGAGCCAGAACCTCATCATACTTATGGAGGTCTGGAGAAAATCTGATCAAAAAATTGGAAGAAGAAGAACTATGGAAATAATCAGTGAGCCAATCGGCTTGACATCACCCGTCTCTGGAGAGCACCTGTTGGTTGAATACAAACCAGTTTTCCAAAGTGTGTCATTGTTTTTTTAAAGGATAATTATGGTTTTATAACTTGGATCATACATTTGTAGATTTGTCCGTGATATCGTTGTGATATCGGTGTAATCGCTCTGACTGGATGTCCGGCTGGGTCAGAAACATACAGTTCTTAAACCAACACTGAAGGTTAACAAACTACTGTCAGTTGTAAACATCCATCATAGATTACAGATGGACTTCTTGTTTCAACTTTGACCCACTGCACTGACTGTCGTTCAGGCTTCCTGCACAACCACTTCACATTTACTCACTTTTACTTCCTAATAAAGTGGTTTACGTTGGTTTAACTGTTATAACAAGTTCAAAACCTTTGTGATGAACTGGAATGTTCCTTTGCAACTGATCATTTTCTGGATCCTTAACGATGTTAGAGATCGGGGGAAATATCCACAGTCCTCGTTTTGTGCAATAATAGTTTCCAAAGCTTACGAGTTCTCATGAGGCTTCAGGCGTCCGAGTTAGACGATCAAGTGGATGTCTTCCAAAGTTACAGCCTTTTCTTGTGTTTTCTTGTTAACTGGAGTGGACGACCAGTAACCCAATGTGGTACTAAAAGGAGAAAATCTCTAGATTTGATGAACTCCAGAGTGCTGAGGCCTCGTATTGATTTAAAAGGGACATGTCATGAAAAACTCATTCATTCGGGTATCTGGAGTTCATCAAACCAACAACCTATGAAATAAGACGATCCAGATCTGAAAGAAATGTGATTCAACAAGTCAATCAGATATGCCCCCCCCCGTCTAATGTCACATGCAGGCTCTTTACAATATACAGCGTTTTTATTTGACCGGTGTGGCCAGCTAGTCGCCAAAAAGTCTCCTTTGATTGGATTATTTTTTTGCAGGATGAGTCAACAAACATTTGAAATCGTAACTAAAACCGAAGACGACTTCCGCTTCACTGGGACTCTTAAAGAGACAGGCGCGTCAACGGAGCGTTTGAGACAGACGGTGAATACAGGTATATTCAGACAGACAGTATGGGGGGGGGGGGGTTAATATTAAAGCATGTTGACATGTTCTAGTAGAAACCCCCAAATACAAGTATGAACCTGAAAATGAGCGTGATGTCCCCTTTAAGATAAACTCTGCACAGGAGGAGGACTGGTGGAAGCAGGTTGTGAGTTTAAACACTGCAGCAGCATCAGGGAAGAAAAAGCGGCCGAAGCCTTAAAGCTGGTCGCTTCTCATTAGCGTTTGTAATGCAGAGGCATTGACCCAAAAATATGATTAATTCTCCCAACATGTCAACCAGTCAGCTGATCAAACATTTGGCTGAATGACATCGGCACTAAAAAGGATACCCAAAGTCCGGAGCCGATGTCGTCGGTTGCGGCTGCTGTGAGGACGCTGGCCGTGAGCGGCTGTGAGTCAAACATGCTGCGGTCATCATTATGTGGGAAAGTGACCTACATGAGATCAGACCCACTGGAGATGCAGAGGGAGCCACGTTGGTCATTAGTTTCTGTGAATCAATGTGATGTGTGATAGGGAGCCATTTTTAGGAGGAACTGGATCAACTGGGGATGAGGTTTGATTGTCTGATGAGGTCATCGTTGCTGCCTGAAACGCCACAAGGGGAAGGAGTGCGAAACTCTTAAAAAGGACCTTAGTGCATGTTTAAAAAGCTTTAGCCAATAGCTACCAATCATATATATCATACTGCTAACAGTGTAATTACGTTTCCAACATAATGTCGTCCCAGAAAAAAGTAGTTTGAGACTATTTCACAAACCGTGAGATTATGTTGTAATTGGCAAAACAGATTAGCATTTTATATTTATACGTACTTTTTAGCAGACAGGGTTGCTAATAAGATAAAAAAGCATCTTTTGGGACTTCGGGGGCTCCACAAATATCTCTGAACACCAAGCTGGAAAACAGCTGTGATGGCAGACGACATGTCGAGATCACTGCCCTCCATGAAAAGGTGAAATGCAGCAGATCACAAGCGATGAGGCATGTCTGCTCTGCTTTGTTACAGGGTATCGTCTGTACAGTCTGGGTCAGTGTGGGACAGTCTGTACTTCCAGGTACCTTCAGGGTCCGCTGGGACATTTAACTCGACGCCGTGAAGCATGAATGTGAAACGAGCAAATTGTGGGGGAAATCTGTGTGATACGCAGCATCACTTTTTCCACCATTACACAATGAGGCAATGGAGGCCTGGGGAACTGCATTCTCTTTGTGTGTGCAGTTGAGCGGGGGGGGTCAGGACTCAGCCAGATGATGTCATGGCCATTAAGGAAGTTGCAGCTATAAAAGAAGCCATTGAACTCAGAGTTTAGTGTCATTTTTTAGTGAAGTTACAGCAATGTTCCACCGCTCACTGAGGAAACAAGGAGGAGGATAGGAGGACGAGGAGCAGGAGTTAGGAGAGGGATGCAAGTATAGAAGACAAATAAATAAATCAGAGTCGATTGTATCAAGAGGACAAACTATGCTGACATGCATAGGTACAAAAAAAGAACAAAAAGACACAATCAAAGGTGAAACTGAGCCTCCACCATCATCCTGAAGAGTGTTACAGAAAACTAGAATTGTCTTGTTTTGGGGTTTGATTTTGCAGTTCCAGACATTACTTAGTGTGATTACAGTATGATGCAAATAAAAAGAGACTCAAGTGTTGATGCAGCACAATACAGAAGAAAATGTGGGTTTGTGGAGTTCGCCATGTTTCATCACTTTGTTTCTGCAGCAGTCCAGAATGGCCAAACCTAGAGAGCCTTTCACGTTGTTTTAACCCCTTAAGGCCACCGTAGTTCTCCGACACACTGTGAAACAGGTGGAAAAGGTTTTACCACGATCGTTTTTCTAAACTACTTTTTTTATTTTATTTACCAGCAAACAGGTGGAAAGAAAACAATTTACATCTTTGGCCAATGTTTGTTGTTGTAATACTAATTTTGGCCACAAAAGTCCAACTAACCCATGTTCCAAATGATATTAATAATTTTCTTACAACAAACAGGAAAATGATCCTGACAAATTGAAACAAAAGAAAATGAAGGTAATAAGAAAGGTTATCCTGGAAAATGTTCATATTTTCCGAAGTCATAAACAATTTGATCAGACTAAGAAAATGAATTACCAGAATTAATTTTTTCCTCTGAGGGCTTCCATAACAAAGAGAGTAAGAAGCGGTAGATATGGTGGATAGCTCACTACTGTCATGTGTTCTGTGATCCTCTGTATCTTAATGTACATCATCTATATCAAGTCTCTCACTCAAGTCAGTCACGAGTCAGCGGACGATCACACTTCCATATGATGTGATGATGGTGATCGTATTTTAACCACAATCAGGAGGTTATTCTGTCACTAATTCATTATTTGATGTGAGCTTGTGTGGAGGGTTAATAATGATTTAATGCAGAATGATTTACACATTCTTAAAAATGTTTTTACGTATTTCAATATGTTGTGTTCAAGTGTTGAATTTGGCTGCAAGACAAAGTTCCTCTTCATGGACAATGTAGTTCAAAGTTAGAGGAGGAATAAAAGCAAACAATCCTGCTTTTCTACTTCAGCATGAATATGAACCTGAACCTTCTGTGTTTACTACTTCATGTCATCTTGTTGTGTTTTTACTGGAGACAGAAAATCTCAATCAGACAAAGGTGACCTCCTCCTCCTCCTCCTCCTCCTCTCCCCCCTCCTCCTCCTCCTCCTCCTCCCCCCCTCCTCCTCCTCCTCCTCCTCCTCCTCCCCCCCTCCCGGCTGACTGTCTCCTAAATGAAACATACACACAGTGACGATGACAGACATCACCATTCTCTTCAATGTGCTTTTGTAAACATAAACCGTTTCACTTTGTGGTTTATTCCAGTTGTGGAACAATTGGTATCAATATATTATACTATTAGAATATTAAGATTCACTCAGATGTTTACAGTAAAAGTATCAACAGTATCAAAACTACACGTTAAGTTCTGCATTCAACAGACCGACGATAGAATCAAGAGTCAATGCAGAAGATAAGCAAACGCCAGGTGGTAACACGATGCAGCGAGACTGGTCCCTCTCGCTTCTATAATATTCAAAATGATTGTATTATGATATTAAAATTTGACACAACCACATTTTAACATCAATCTGGTTGAGAATGTATATGAACGTTTGAAATACTGCAGCATACTCAGGTTTTAACTGCAAATTAAAAAGGTGGATTAAAAAGTAAACGCAACATAAAAAGCATAAAACTGAAGTGAAGTACAAGACTTTACCGACTTCCCTGCAGGTACGAATATGTTGTCTCACCTGATGAGGTTCTGCAGGAGCTGTCTGCTGGAGCTTTTCCTTCTGATGGACTCAGACATGGTGGACTGGGCTGCTCCCGGTCTGTGGTCCCGATTCTGGTCTGCGTGCAGCCTCTGGTCCTGGGTCTGACCTCGGTCCTGGTCCTGGAGGCTGAGACGTTTCCTACAGCTGCTCTCTTGTTCTTCTTCGTGCACGCCTCTCTCTCTCTCTCTCTCTCTCTCTCTCTCTCTCTGTTGGTTGCAGCTCTCTCCTCCCTCCATGTGGTTTTCATTGAGGTGTTCTGACCCCCCCCCCTCTCCCTCTCTCTCTATCTCTCTGTCTCCCTCTCTGTCTCTCTCTCTCCCTCTCTGTCTCTCTCTCTACCTCTCTCTCTGTCTCTCTACCTCTCTCTCTCTCTACCTCTCTCTCTCTACCTCTCTCTCTCTGTCTCTCTACCTCTCTCTCTCTCTCTCTCTACCTCTCTCTCTCTGTCTCTCTTTCTCTCTCTCTCTACCTCTCTCTACCTCTCTCTCTCTGTCTCTCTGTCTCTCTCTTTCTCTCTCTCTACCTCTCTCTGTCTCTCTCTCTCTACCTCTCTCTACCTCTGTACCTCTCTCTACCTCTCTCTCTACCTCTCTCTCTGTCTCTTTCTCTCTCTCTACCTCTCTCTCTCTCTCTACCTCTTTCTCTCTCTCTACCTCTCTCTCTCTACCTCTCTCTGTCTCTCTCTCTCTACCTCTCTCTCTCTGTCTCTCTCTCTACCTCTTTCTCTCTCTCTACCTCTCTCTCTCTCTACCTCTTTCTCTCTCTCTACCTCTTTCTCTCTCTCTGTCTCTCTCTCTACCTCTTTCTCTCTCTCTACCTCTTTCTCTCTCTCTCTGTCTCTCTCTCTACCTCTTTCTCTCTCTACCTCTTTCTCTCTCTCGCTCTCTCTCTCTCACCCAAACGGGGTCATGTGACTGACCTAAGGGGGGGTTAGTAAGATGATATAAGAGTGGATCAGTGACGATATGATATGCATGTGTATTGTACATATTCATGATGTGAGGAGAGCGACTTGTTTAGAGACTCCTGCTTGTTAATCATTGATGCTGCTCTATCTATACTCTATATATCGTAGCCTGATGTACATAAATTACATAGGCCTTTATTTATATTTGTTCTTATATTCCTTAAGATCAATAAAGCATTCTGACTGATAAGAAATTATAAACTCTAGTGAGCTTTAAAAATAAACAATGACGCTTCATGCAGCTTGATGAATAACTGAACGTAACATTTAACAGCTTCAGCTCGATGTTTCAGGGGACGGACACGATGATTCTGGAAACATTGATATACTTTAATTAAACCCTGCAGAATGTGGCGCCAACTGTCAACTGCAAAAAACAAAAACATGTAATCTAAATGAATTATATGACCAATACTTTAGATAATAATAATTACATCAATGAATAAATATATAAAAACAGGTTTTGTTGATTAGAAATCGACTGAATCTGGTACACTGCATTTCTTGTCCTTGTGTTGTAAATAGTCTGTGAAACGTAATAAACTAAAGTCATCTTAACATAACGTTTTCTCTTCATGGTTGCAGGAGATGAAATAAATGCATCGTAGAGTCCGGAGGAAGTGAGTGAGCAGCAGCCCGAGCCCGAGGCTGTAACGAGTTGTGTTGGATCCGGTTACTGTTCATCAATAAGATACGAATCCTCAGAACAGGAGCAGCTGCTGGAGGCCGCCAGCTGATCAGCCGATCAGCTGATCGGCTGTTTGTTGTTTTATTTTATTGTGTTCGGACGCTCTCTACCTCCGAACACACAGACAGGAGTGGAACTTTATAGAAACTCTCTCCGTCTATCAGTCCAGCACACACAGATGTGCATTAGGTCACACAAGTATTTCCAGCCAACCCCCCCCCCCCCCCATCCTCCGGGAGCTGGAAACACTCACAAACACTCCACAAAACGGTCGCCACAGCAACACGCGGCTCAGCACAGAACTTTCACCCAGGAGACCACAGTTTGAGTCCCGTTTGAAACCAAAGGCTAACTTTGACTTTACAGTTGTTACGCAAGAAAGGTCTGTGAAGGGCAGTCATTTATTAATAGTTATTTTACGCTGTTTCATTATTTTAACACTGCTGCTGATTTTAACATGTTAAAGCACCAGATCATCCGGAGACGCTCTGTGAATTTCTATTCACTGGAGCTAAGAAGCTGTGAACCCAAAATAAACAGATCAATTGCAATAAACAGATTAAAAAGATGAAAAAATAACTACATAATGCAGATTTGTAAAAAGTCTGAATTCATGTTTTGTTCGTTCTCTCCACAAGACGACAAGTAAACAACTTTTAAATGCTTGTTTTCTGAATGGAGCTCGGATTGATCGGTGTTATGCTAAGCTAACATAGTAGCAGCTCCATCAACACTCAACATGAGGTCATCTAGACGTAAATACGGCAGCGTGGTTATTGTTCATATATATATATATATATATATAAGTTTGCTCCCTGTTTGGTGTGAACGCAGCCAACAGATGAGCGATTGTAGATTGTTTGAGCCGATGCGTCTCCTCAGCTCTCGTCATCTGGCGTGAACCGGCTCTCTCCATTGACTTTGTCTTCATGTTGCATTGTAATTGTGTGATCGAATGTTTAAATCACAGTCGGGTTGACAGAGCTAGTCACTATTTAATAAGTTTACTTCACAATTTGAGAACTTCCTTCCACGTTTTCGGCCTGAAAGGCTGCAGCGTCTCCCTTCAGGTCCCAGACGGCCCGTCCGTCTCCTCTCTCACGGAGGTAACCGGTGCCAGCTGTCCCATAAAGACGGCGTCACAAAGCAGGAAGGCGGGAACTGCAGATCCCAACCGGACAAATGAGGGAATGGATTCAAGGTGAGTGACGTCAGGAAGGAGCACTCAAGAGCCAATCCCATGAAAGTCAAAGAGCTGGTTGGAGACGGTCTGCAGCTCGGAAAGAGTCTTTGTTTGAGTGCAACAATTGACTGATGCACTGATGCCATGTGGGAAAATAAGAACTCTCAATCTGTGTTGCGACATGAAGTGGGCGACTGTGGCTAAGTGGAGAGCAGGGCCGTCCTTCAGAGGATCGGCGGTTCGATCTCTATCTCTATAAGAAAGGGTGATTTATCTAACCTGCAGTTCTTTGAGTTGACATGGTTTGTATTGACTTTGATGGAAGTCACCGCCCTTTCTGTAAGTTCTGAACTGTTGGATGGATTGAAGCTTTGTGCAGATATTCATGGAGTCCGGATGATACAAAGAAAACCTGAGAATTCGTGTTCCTGTGCACGAAACCAATAGATTGCACTTTGTGACAAACTAAGATGCATGTCAGCACGCTGACGTGAGGAGCCTCAAAGAGCTGCAGAATCCAGTCTTGACACATTTTAATATTCTATAAAGAAGAAGACCTGGTGAGTTCAGAAGGTCAGCTTTTCTTCTGGTTTGTGTTTCCTCTGAGGATCCAGTGTGAGGACCACACAGCTGCACTCGTGTCTGTATCTGCCTTCATCAACAAACTAAACTCTTACGTCAGCTTTTCCAAACACGGAGGCCACAATGAGTCAGCTCCTTCGTCCATGTTCAGCTTAACTTCTTATCCGTTAAAGTTTATTTTGAAAACACCTTTATACTACACATGGGTCCTTTTGGAAAGGAAATTTATTTATATATATATATATATTTATATTTTTTTTTATATATTTATTTATATATATATATTTTTATATATTTATATATTTTTATATATTTATTTATTTATGATTTAGTTTGGAAATGTTGAGTTTTTCTGTCTCTTCATCACACAGAGAAACTAGTCATAGGATTTCTAAAAACTGACTGCAATGAAAAAATCATTAATTTTCAGCAGTTTGACATAAAAATGATGCATGTGGTTCTAGACTTACTGTATCGGTCTATAGCACACACACACAGTGTTTCCATCTCGCTCATAACAAGCACACACACACACACACACACACACACACACACACACACATCTGTGAAACATTCATGACTCAACAGCGTCATTAAAACACAGGGAGGGATCAGCCGTTAAGGAACAGAAAAGTCCAAATCTCACCAACGACATCGTTCAACTCGCTTTTAAAACCTTCCAGAGATTCTGCTTCTCATTTACTTTTTTGTTCCGTTTTAAAAAATAGAATTTTCTCAATTGTCTCAATCACTTCACTCCCAAGATAGAGGGACAGTAATGCCACCAGTCTGTTGTACCAGACATGGTGTGTGTAGGTGCATGTATGTAGATGTTTGTGTGTGTAGGTATGTGTAGAAGTGTAGGTGTGTGTATGTACGCGCGTGTGGGTGTAGACGTAGGCGTGTGTAGGTAAGTGTGTGTGTGTCGGTAAGTGTGTGTGTGTGTAGGTGCATGTAGGTAAGTGTGTGTGCATGTAGGTAAGTGTGTGTGCATGTAGGTAAGTGTGTGTGCATGTAGGTAAGTGTGTGTGCATGTAGGTAAGTGTGTGTGTGTGTGTGCGCGGGCTTACATGCACTAAAAAACACACACGCCGGCCGGCTATGTCAACAAATCAGGGAGAAGCTCTGATTACAGTTTCAGTAGAGGGAGAGAGACTTCCTTCTCTGCTCAGGTACACATTACTCTCTACATCTTTACATGAATACGTATAAAATGTGCTATATTGCTCCTTCAATGATAAACAAAGAGACTTGATCAGTTATTTTTTAATGACCATCTTTTACTGAGCTGATACACGACTACGTCTATGTCAAAGTCTGCAGAAAACGTTTCAGCGTGTGTGATTAAAGTTTGATTAAACATGATTAAAGTTATTCCATTAACGTATTCAAACCCTGCACATCTGTATAACCTGATGCTCAGTATGAGCTGTAACACAGGAAGTTCCTCTTCTCAGAGCAGTCGGTGAGCAACAAGCCGTCCGTGTCGTTCTTGGACAGAGCTCCGCAGTGCTGCCGTACCGGGGCACAGAGCGGCAGGTCGGGGAACGACACGGTCGCCCTGTTCACCCACAGCCAATCACCGGCCAGGAAACGGAGACCCGCCCACACCTGAGGACAGGAAACCACTCATGAACCTCCAAGAAGCATTTTTCACCCGAAATCCTCCATCATTATAAAACAGAAGGTAATATTCCCCTGAACACAGAGCTATAAAACACCCTAACATTCTGAATGTGAACCCACCTCCTCAGTGTCGGCCTCCTTCACCTTGGTCGTCACGTACTCGTGTTCTGGCCCGGGCTGCACGCTGACCAGCTCGTAGCGGAGGCCATTCTGGGCGGGTGAACGGAGGGCTCGGCAGTGCTCCAGCGCCTCCTCCCACGTCTTGTTCTCCTTCACCAGGACCAGGTTGTTCCTGAAGCAGACGACGGGAAACCGGTCGGAGCAGTTCTGGGCGGACATCGTTTTGTCCCGGGAGGAGATGGAGACGCAGTTGCCCCGGTCACTTGGCTCTTGTGATGCCCAATTTCTGTACTCCGACAGCCCTGAGCTCCACTTCCACGTTCCCCCTGCAGAAACACAGAACGTGATTACTGGTTGGATCAACGGTAGAAAGGCTTTTACTCCCTTCTACGTGTTTCAGGAGGCAGAATAAGTTGAATATAGGTTGAATCAAGGTTTTATGCTATGAGGGACGTTTAAGCGACTGGCTGTCAGTTTAATCAGGGCTGTAGGCAAGACCAAGACCAGATCCAGGTCCAGTCGAGTCCGAGTGAAGACCAAGTCCAAAGGCCGTCCTAACCGAGTCCAGAGCAACCAGAGTCCTGTTAGAATTTTATTTCTAACTTTAACTAAATAGTTTTGAAGCCTAAAACTAAACAATGGTGTTCCTACGTGGTATTGTGTGCGATACGAGGCCGATATTAAACGTCTCCATGAAATATACGTTTACATTACGTAAAGACCCGCCCAACTCTGCCTCTGATAGGTTAGGTCTGTAGGTGGGTGGTGTAGATATCTTTATGCTGATGTTTGGAGACCTAACAGATTCTGTGCCATTCGAGAACTCACCGCTGAATGACTCTCTGCAATGAATGCATCAGAGTCGTTCAGAAAAGCACGACAGGTTGGAATTGTGTTCACCTTCTCGGTGCAGTCCGGTCCAGACGGGAAAGTCCTGCTCGTTGACAGCCGAGTCCACGTCTTTCTTGCGTGGGAGAGATGCCAGTTCAGTGAACCGACTCTGGCAGTACTGCCGAGCTTCAGTCCACGTCTTCGACTGAGGCAGGAACTTGAATTCATCACTGCCGCCCCCGGACGTTTGACAAAAGAAGAAGGCATGTTCCTCACAATCGGCGCTATAAAACCTTTCAAGAGAAATATTAAACACAATTACAAAGAGGAAGAATTTGATGCAGAAATACAATTAAAAGTAAAATATTTCAGTGTTACCAGTTGACTGCATTTGTCATTTTAGGACCATTCTATTGTTTTTGATTATTTAACTACAAATCAGAACATTGAGAGGAATAAAAAATTGCATTGGTATTGTTATCTCCTTAAAACGGGCAGGTCACTCTAACATCTAAGATATGTTCCTGTTACCTGTAGTGTATCTATAAGAGCAGGTTGTTCTGGTGTGTTGGAGATATTGGCTGTTAAAGAGGTCTTCCTTCTCTCCACAATGGGACTATACGTCTACACCTACATTTAGAAAAGCTCAACAGAAATGTCTCTTTCCAGAAATCATGACCCGGTTACTGAAAATAATCACACAGTCGTCATATTATATTGGAGAGAAGGCCGACGTCTCTGCGGCCGATACGTCCAACACTCTGCAACTCACAGCTAAACTATTTAGATGGATAAATAGTACTACAGGTCAAACATCTCCATGTCAATCTAACCGCTTCAACGTTATCCTGACCCGTCGCTGGTAATCAGGTGGTGGTTGAGAAACGCTCGAGGCGTAATCTACGCTCTCATCAAAGACTCTGCTGCATCTACTGTAACACACCGACGATGGACAACTGTAAAACATCCAAACTATCCCTTTACGTGTCACTGAGCTCTCATTCACTGCATGCATTCACTTCTGTACCTCCTCCCCTGCCACACATCAAAAACAGCAGATCAAAATGTTTTAACTTTAAAGAATTGAGTTAGGCGGCTGCTTGAGAAAATTGATGAATATAAAACAATATACGAGATATAAGAACGGTCTCTCATTACCTTTTCTTGCTGTAAGAGATGGCAACACATTCTTTGCTTTTGTCTAGCTGGTTGTTTGCCCAGTGATTCCTTTCGATGTCTCCATTAGTCCACTTCCAGTGATTCGGCGTTGTTCTGCGCAGACCGATCCAAGCGTCATAATCGTCCAGTTTTATTTGGTCTTCATCGGACGTCTTAAAGATGGTGGCCAAGTCAGTGTAGTTGTGAGGCGAGCTATTCGGATAAAAGAAAATAATAATTCAAACAGCTTTATATGCAAAGTGATCCGTCAGAATACAAGTGATAGAAGCTGGAGTGCAGATATTCTGTTTCCCCGACAGCGACGGCCTCAATCTGCACTGCAAGAACTCGTTTGGCTCGAATGTAACAGACATTCATTTATATGATAAAAACTGAATCATACAAACAGTCGAGGACGTCTCCGTGTCTCTAACAAAGTATTGGACAAATTTAAACTCTGACCTGATGATGGCGCTGAATTAAAAGTTATGATATGTTGAAGAGCTCATTCTGTTGCCGTCATTACGCCTCATGTGCGATCAGATTAGTTTCTTAAATCTCATTTGAGCTCATTTCTCTGATCCACATCTTAAACTGTTACGTATGAACTTATTTCTTTTATTAGCACTTTAACCCTGCTGCTAATGTGCAGGCTCAGTGCTGCTCGATAGATCTGCTCACATGTGTTGTAGTTTACATGAGATTCTTTTTATTCTGTAAAGCACTTTGTGCTTAAACGTAAAAAGTGCTAAATAAATACAATTATTAAAAAGGCCTTATTACGAGACGCGTGATGTTTCTGTTCATCTACGCACCGCTGTCATTCTCTACAATTACTTCTTACGATCCCGTCAACACATTCTGATGAAGAGAAGCCCACCTCCTGCAGAAGCTCTGAGCGTTGTGCCAGTTGTAGTGACCGTGTTTGTGAAAGTATTCTTTAACCACCACTGATCCCAGTCCACACAAAGCACCGCAGAGGAGGAGGAAGCAGCTCTTCATCGTCATCGTCACAAATCTGTTGAACAAAGAGCATAAAACAGGCAGGTTAAACACTGAAGCAGATTTGTGAGTATTTGTGCTCATTTTTCACAAAAACATGATTCAGGAAGAGCTTAAATGACAGTAAACTTTGTGTCGCCGTGTTGTTGCCGGTCCCGATGCTCGTCTCCTCGTGCTCAGTGAGAATGAGCCGGTGCTGCAGCTGAACATCTCACCACTCTGAGTTCCACGTATCAGAGCAGTCATTTGACTATTTGACTGGCAGACACACTTAAAACAACTTTCTCCACAAACCATTTGACTGTTGGCAAATGAAGCAGAGATTTACCGACAGACCTGCAAATATATGGATATGGTTAGTGCAAGAGACGCAGAGACGCTGGAGAAAAAAGAAAGACAACTAGACTGCTGCGTCACGGTGTTTGGAGTCACATTACGTCTTTAATGTGAGGACGTCCTCAACAATCAGGATATCCTCAACCAAGACGTCGGGAAGTCTTAACGATAGTTAAAACAGTTCTAGCACTGTAAATAAAATGAAATAAAAACACTGAATATGTTTTTATGAACACAAAACACTAAATGAGACGATAACATAACATCCACCGGAGTGGTTAAAAGCACAAGAAGACGGAGTTTTACTCTGGATCGTCATCACGTTGAAACTTTTTATTTATTTACGTTTTAATCGTGCGTCTTCACAATCACCAGGTGAGGCCGGATAGATCTCAGCCAATATGAGCTCATTGCAGATGCATTGATATCAACGAATACGTCAGCTGGTAAATGACAACAAATTAAAGCACAAAAATGAATGTGTGTGTGTGTGGGGGGGGGGATTGTAAACCGTGTGGCCATAGTTCTGTAGTTTCAAGACGCGTCATTAGAATCCATTGTTCTTTGGTACGATGTGCGTTTTAGACGCGTTTAGACGAAATATCAACTTTTCAGCGTCAGATAATGTCAAATGTCACACTTGACCAAGGCAGCCAATCAAATCAGGTAAGAGGCGGGCTTAACTACTAAACTACTTCCTTCCTGTTTTGATGCCAGTAGCTGCGGTAGGAACGAACAATAGCAGATAAAAAGATTGACATCAGTTAATTCATTACGATGAACTTTATATCTATTGTTTGCCTCCTCAAACTTAGGACGTAGTTCTTGACATGTTTTAAGTGTTTATTTTTATAACCTTGGTTTTAAACAAAATATAAATGAATAAATAATATTCATCAATAATGGAGAACAAACTTTGGGCACATAAAGTTTTATTACGCATTGATTTGAACTCTTTGATGCCTTTTTACACCTGCAATCACAGAGCGAATAAACTCTGAATTTCATCTGAAACAAGAAGAAAACAGTATTTAGTAAGAAATATCTTCACATGAAGCAACTCACTGAATACAGAGCACTGTAACTAAAACCCTCAGATTAAAACAGTTACTGAGGTTTACGTATTTTAAGCGTGTTGCTGGTGAAAATGTTTCATATTTACAAACCGCAGCAGGAATCAACGCATCTGTAGTCTTTTGTTTACTTGAACTCATGAAGAATTACTAAATTAACTCCCTCAAATCAGGCAGAGATCTTATTGACACATTATGTGTATGCTGACGGTGCAGGTTGTTGTGGTTCGTCTGGTTCATTTAAGAATAAATGTACTCGTGTTCACCTGGGCGGGACATGCTCCTCTCCAGCTGCGTGAAGGATTCCCCCGTCAGCGTGCCGATCTCGTCCTTCAGCCGGCGGTGGCCGTCCAGCGTCAGGTGCCAGAAACACGACTTCCTCTTGCCGTCTCTGCACAGCTGGTTGCAGGTCTTGCGGAAGCTGCTGTTGAAGCACAGGTTGTGTCGGATGGTGTTCTTCCAGCCATCTGGAGCCGTCTGGAAGAAGGGGAAGTGCTCTCTGGGGGATTGGATATATTCCCGATTATTACCCAGAGATTGGAGCTTTAATCTTCACAGAAACCTGTTGACTGTGTGTTTGACCAGACTGTCAACACTCTGACCTGGTGAAGTTGTATATCTGCTGGACTTTGAGGCTCCCAGTGTGGCTGCTCTTGAGCGCCAAGGCGATGAGGATGCAGTAGTTCACAGGTGGACGAGGCCAGCATCCCGGCTTCAGGGTCTTACTGTCCTGGAAGCAGACAGAAATTAATTAAAAACCCATTTCACAGAGCACCCTGAGAAAGCATGCAAACTGCACACTTTAGCTTAAATTACCAGAAAAAATGATTCACTTCTAAAGGATATTTAAGGATCTTTAAATATCCTTTAGATCTTATTTATAACATGGACTTTTATAACCGGTCTCTGCTGGAGGAGCTGGGTCTGTCCACGGTGGACCGGTCTCTGCTGGAGTCTGAGCTGAAGGAGGTTCTGGTGAACCTGCATGAGTTCATCTGGTTTCACCAGAATCCGACCCGGTGGCTCCGATGATGAGCATCAAGAATAACTCTATAGAAACAGACCATCTTCTCTCTGATGGTCTCTTTACTGATGGAGGTCTGATAGAGGATCAGGACTACACAGACTGGTTCAGGACTAGGTAAAAGTTCCTCACAGTAACTTTAAAGTTAAAGTTTAGTTTTAAGTGTAACTCTCAAAAAGATGAACTTCTTCATCAGATTTCATTGACAGAGTTGGAAACATGAAACCAGGAAGAAGAGAACAGATAAACAGGAAGATAACTTTGTGATATAATTTGGAAAATAGGTTTTTATAGCCTTTCAAAAACAGGTTCCCGACACCAAATAGAGTTCCCGACACCACACCGAAGGAACTGGATCAGAGTTCTCACCCGGAAATTCGGGGTTCTTCCCTTTCGTCTGTTCTTCGCTGGTCGACGACAGACATCTTCATTCTTGATCCCAGTCAAAGACATTCATAACACACAAAACACAAACTATGAGTGCAATGCATCCTGGGTTAATATTAGTGGTATAATCCTGGAGTTTGTAAAAGCATGTTGTTACTTTACATTTTGAAAATGGAGATTAAATCCAGCTAAACTTTTTGAACTAGTATTAGACCCGGTATTATTAAATGTGCTCTGTATTAGGAGCTTACATCTGAAGAAGAAACAACATAATGCATTACTATGGGAAGGTTTGCTTTGTGATTGGATGTCAGGCAGGTGACCTACTTCACCTCAACCAATGAGCCCAAAAAGCATCGCTGAGATCGCCCGCAAGAGGAGGTCTCGGACCGAAGGTCTCGAAGTGAACCCCGAGCGCAATTTGATTGCAGTGACCGACCCAGTTGCAGGGAAGGAACCAAAACACAAGTAAAAAACAGGTTAACACGAGTGGGAGAGGAATTAACTCGGGACTTCTGCTCGACGTGCAGAATATGTCTAAATAAACAAGACATTGATAAAGTCATCCGGGATAAACTAGAGGAGAAGGGACTGGTGTGCTCAGAAGATCGAGGCATCTTCTTACACGGCCCTCAGCAAATAGATCAGTGGAATAGTCTTCCACATAAACCAAACGGAGACCCATCCATAGAAAAACTACGGAAAGCCGAAAGGGACAATAAATGCGTCGATTTTCAAACATGCTTTTTTTCAGTGAATGAAGACAATTACAAAGCCCAAGTGTCCACCTCTTGCACCGACAGAGCCCAATAGCTATATCTACACTACAATGATTTAAAAGAGGTCGTTTTAAAAAGACAATGAAGGCAAGCAAGGGGATTAAATTATCAGGCAAAATACTCTTTTAATTCTCTGAACATCACAGATCACATCTTAACACTTGCAGACACTTCCATTGCTTTGGTCTGGCTTAACTCTTGACCGATTGGTTTCAGAACATTTGAGCTTACTGGCTTTATAAAAACAGAACAGTAATAAAAACTGCTTTTAAAACGGCATAGAAAGCGTTGTTAAAGTCCCCAAGTAGAGCGGTAGAAAAACGGAACTTTCTTGGTTGACAATGAAACTAAATGCTAAAACATTGCAATTAAAATGTCCATAAAAACATTTTTTTTTAAAATATAAAACAACTCTATAACGCTACAAGAGGTCTAACATTAAGGGGACCTTCAAGACAGGTTGCAATACTGTGAACGTGGCCCTGATGTCTGCAGAGAAGACTATACCATGTCGTCAGTGGAGCAGAGTGATTCTGATGTCTCCAGAGAAGACTGTACCATGTCGTCAGAAGACTGTACCATGTCGCCAGAAGACTGTACCATGTCGCCAGAAGACTGTACCATGTCGCCAGAAGACTGTACCATGTCGTCAGAAGACTGTACCATGTCGTCAGAAGACTGTACCATGTCGTCAGAAGACTGTACCATGTCGTCAGTGGGGCAGAGTGATGGTGATGTCTGCAGAAATGACTGTACCATGTCGTCAGAAAACTGTACCATGTCGTCAGTAGAGCAGAGTGATGCTGATGTTTGCAGAGAAGACTGTACCATGTAGTCAGTGGGGCAAAGTGATGCTGATGTCTGCAGAAAAGACTGTACCATGTAGTCAGTGGAGGGTCTCTGGGTCTCTGCAGGGTTCAGCTGAGCCGTCTGGATTTCCTCATCAGGTTTGCTGACTTCCTGCTGATCTGGTGTGTTTTTTCTGGACGGGATCGGGCAGACGATGTTGGGATCCACCAGCAGCCACAGGCTTGGCGTCACAAAGGTGTCTGAAGGACGGGAGTGTATCCAAAGCAGACATTCAAGGTGCTGCAACAAGTAGATCCATGTAATTTGTTTGGCAATAAAAGACGGGGAAAGTGCCGTGACATTTGGGTTAAAAGCTCAGGAAAAAGCTAAAAGTGCACCTCGATTCGTCAAAATGAAAAATTTGATCGACCCAACTAGAACTACTACGTCATGGTTGTATGTCTCCACCAACCAGTACAGTTGCAGTTTATATCCATGTCTGTCCAAAATGTCATCACTTCAGCATTTTATCTTGTTAGACATTTGTGTAAAATTGTCAACAAACAAAGAAATCGACAGTTTGATTTTGTGTGATTTCCCAAAATGTCAAACTATTAAGTAAAGTAAGTTAACTATTAAATGAGACGACTAAACGTCCTCACTAGAACACTAGTCCTTTAGCTTAGTGGTGGCGACATGAAGTCATGTGACCGTGGTGGAGTTCCTTTATAGACTACAGTGTTTCCCCTACCATTATATTGGGAGCACCCCGCCCCCCCAACGGCACCCCCCCGCCCCCCTTTGAATTTTATTTTCTATATAGCGCCAGATCACAACAGAAGTCATTTAAGGTTTGCTTTTTATGCTACACTTCAACCATAAAAGTGGAGTTCATTAGTTAAGATTATCTTGATGAACAAAACGTGTAAGAACCATAAACGTTTGTTTGTCAGAGAATATTTTCTGTAATAATCACAAAATCCACTCGTAGAATCCTATTGGCTGTTTGTGGAGGGAACCAGTGACGATAACTTCCTGTTGGACTACAAAAACACGCAATTCCTGCAGCATGAAAACAAGGTAAATCCTGGATCAGCTCACCTGAGGTTTCATCGTAAAAAGTGGTTTCCTCTTTTCCTCTTGAGGCTCTGTCAGAAGGCCTCTGGACCAAGTATTGTTCGTCATCTGTCATCAGTGATAGATTGAAACACACACAACATTGTTCACTTTTAAATCAGTTGATTCCATCGGTAATCAGTGTTTTAACTTTAACATCAACTACATCCACAGTGGTTTTAATGGGAGTGAATAACAATCATCTTTTGACCTCCAGTGAAGCCAGAACAAAGAGCAACCAGTCACCGTGGTAGAACTGGTCGGTGGTAGTGGCCAGTTTCAGCTCCTTGTCCATGTCCCAGTCCGTCAGGCCCACAGTGCCGTGCAGGTGGGACAGTAGGCCTTTGGTTTTCAGAGGGAAGGTCATCGTTGGATTCTTTCCGGTTGACTGAAAAGCAGCCTGATTGAACTCAATCACACCTCAAGAGTGTCATCCTGCAGCTGTGTTTGAATCAAATAAATCCAACTGAGTTTAAAACACTTAATGTGATAATTACTCTGAATTTGAACCAACTGGAGCAAAATTGCACCCGATTGATTAAATGAATCCACCTGCTGTGAACAATGTTTCCTCTTTTATTTAAAAACGCTATTAACAAGCTTTGTATTTCATCAGCCTCTACTGTCTGAAAAGTTCACAAAACCTGTCACACAAAAGTACAATATGTACCTCTGCGATGTAGTACAGTAAAAAGTACAATATGTACCTCTGAGATGTAGGGCTGCACAATTAATCGAATTTTAATCGCGATCACGATTTTGGCTGCCACGATTAAATGAGCATGATCGTCAGCGATATTGACGTTTAAAATGTGTGCTCTGCTACACATCAAATCAAGCTCTTCCTCAACTAACATTCAGCCGACCACCAGGGGGCGAACGAGTTGGGAGGTGTCATGCGCGCACCCTGCAGCGGCAGCCTCAAAGAAAGTTCTGTCTGCAGTCGAGTAGAAGAGTAGAGAGACAAACAGAACAGACGGTCACGGGTGTCGTGTGAAAGGTAAATCTAATGGCAGGAGCAGAAGGCGAGGAGCTAGCCCCTCGACAAGGATCATCATCCGTTGTCTGGACGTTTTTTGGATTTAGGCCAAGTGATGTTAACCAAGAACAAATCATATGCGCAGAGTGCGTTAGAGTTGTGTCTGCGCCGCATAGCAATACAACTACCTTGTTCAACCACCTGAACAATCACCACAAACCACTACGATGAATGCATTAAGGCCAAATCTAACGTTACCTCACTGAATCTCCGTCCATGCGACCCTGCACAGCGCCACAGCGTATCCATCCACCTCCCAAAGACACGCTGAAATAACAGATGCAATCGCATTTCATTTGGCCAAAGACATGTCCAATAAATACTGTGAGCAACAGACATATTTATTTTTAGTTAGCCCTTTATTTTGGGTAAACATTTTATTTATATTTTGCTTCAGGTGATCAGTACCGTATACGTTGTATTTTGATGCAGAGGCGTGTACATTAGCTGGAATGTAGCACAACAATGGAAGTGGAAGCAGTGCTCTTGTTCATTTAAACGTGAAAGTGCAATAAAAAGATGATGTCCCTAAAATGAATGAATAATCGTGATCTCAATATTGATCAAAATAATCGCGATTATGATTTTGGCCATAATCGTGCAGCCCTACTGAGATGAAGTATAGTAAAATGTACTATATTTACCTCTGAGATATAGTACAGTAAAAGTACAATATTTACCTCTGAGATGTAGTGGAGTATAACCACCTCTATACCGCTCCTAGCGTCTGTGCCAGAGTGATATCTGGCCAATCCAAAAACGATTATAACCGCCCACTTACTGTCAAAATTTTTAAAAAACTACTAGCAAGGAGCAGGTGAAAGACTCGCGAGCAGAATAGCAGTCCCTCACTAAGGGAGGAACCGCTCAAAGCATGGTTTTCTGCTCACAGGCTGCAATTTAGCCCGCGCAAGCAGAGATATTCTGATTTTTAACGGGCTTGCTAAAGTGATATACATGCGCTGCTGTTTGATTTGCGCTGGAGCTCTACACAAGCGTGCTTCATATTCCCGCTTTTAATAACCGTCACGGTCTCTGAACATATGAGACATATACTGGTTTTAAACTGCCCGTGTGAAGAATTAACATATACGAGTCGGTTCATACTTAGTTAAACGACATGTGTGAAATAACTTCGAACTCACGTAATTCTCCTACTCTTCCTTGTCTTTCTCCCAGGTGAATAAAACTGTTCGGAATACACAAATTTGATTGGTTGAGCCGCATCACGTGATGTGAATTACAATGCATGTAATTGGTCCAATTGGTCGGCGTGTTTCCGGGACCGCGAAACGAGTACCGTAAAGGCTGGAAAAGCTGTGCAGGTTAAAACAGAAACGCTCCGTCAAAAGATGAAAACATGGACGCCGGTTTCAGAATATTGAAGAAACAAAAAAAAGGTTGTGAGGGAGGAAATAAATAAAACATATTTGTTAAAGGGATAGTTTAAGATTTGGGAATACATCAACACTTGTTCACTTTCTTGAGAGTTAGATGAGAAGATAAATAAATATAGTAATAATTCAGCTAACATGCGTCTCAGAATAACTCGTTATATCTGGTTTGGTTCTGTACAGAAACAAGAAAAGAAAAAAATTAAAAACCATTTTGCCTCAGGATGAATTATATTTAATTTAGGGCCATCGGGGTCAAAATTTAAATTTGTCCAAAACTAATGACCTCACCTTTATTTTATGTTTAGTGCAAATGGAAACTTTTAGTATGCTAACATGCTAAACTAAGATGGTGAACAATAAACCTGCTAAACATCAGCATTGTCGCTGTTAGCATTCTGACATTAGCATTAGCTAAGAGCCCCACTGAACACAGCCTCATTTAACATTCACAACACAGTTTCTGAAACACCGTCAGAGACATGTCTTCATATTTGTTTGTACTTTTTGCAATATGTTTTACCTGATATAAGTGTTCTGCTCACTCTTTCCTATCAACAATCAATTAATAAACCTCACTGACGTCTTACTCGTGTGGTGTATGTAGCAAGGCGGATAAAACATGAGTATTGACTTCAGTATTTGTTGTTATTTGATAACTGACACTACTAAATAAAACTATTTGTTTAGAGGAAAGTGAAAGTAGACATCTGACCCACTTGGCCGGTCAGAACAATCCACGTTGAACTCTTTCCTCCTGAAGCATCTTTGACTTTCATCGGTCACAAACACGTCAAACTTTTTAAATTCTTCCAGACCTGCATTAGTGCAGTTTAGTCTTATTTATTTTTTTCATCACATTTACAGAACACATTCCACAAGTAAGAAACAGAAACAGATCAATTCTTCTTCTTTTTTTTTTTACAGCATAAGTAAAACAAAATCATAGTCATATCTTTAAATATCTATATATCTTTGTATAGTTTAAACATTAAGTCGGTCGTATACTCATTCCAGCACGTTCATTTACACAAACTCAGGGACGGGGAGCTGCTGCTTTTATTAATATCCAACAACGATCTAGTCAAGACAGCAAATCAGGTGGGGGCTCACTTCACTCGCTATATTTTTGTCTATTTATTTTGGGTGGGGGAACCACAGTAATGACCAGACATGCTGACAAAAAGGAGCACTAAAACAGAAATAACTACAGGTTATACAGAAGCTGGTGGAGACTGAAGATGAGCAGCGGAATGTTGTCATGCGGTCGTGTTAAGTTTCTGATTTGGGGCGTTTCTTTTTATTGATTTTGGTCCAAAAAAAACAGCACGCTGCAGCTTGACGTGTTGCAGAAAGATGGTGGTTTGTTTGCTGCGCTGGGAGTAAATTGCAAATTCTTCTTCTTGTGTTTTGTCAGCCGACGTGTCGAGTAAACACGCCGAGCGTCACAGTTTAGACAATCACAGGTGAGCGTTTGGAAGTCAAATGAGTCGCCTTCTGATTAAAACAAGCAGCAACCACCTGTGTTGGACTGAACTCATCGCGACTCTTTTTCCAGCTTAAAAACTCAGTATTTAAGTTGATTATATGTTTTGCTTTGTAAACAATAACGAGCCTGAATGGAACTCACGTCGCAGCAGGAAATTCGGGGGCTAACAAAAAAACCCTAATTTACACCTGCGAGTGAAGAATGCTGAAGATTTAGCATCAAACCGTCACAATGTTTAATATCGAGGCGAGACTGGAGACACCGCTCAAGACATGAATGAAATGATGTCGGGAGGAAGAAGAGGAGGCTCAAAAGATGGGGATGTAGTTGTCGATCTTGGCGCGGTGCCGCTGGGCGATGCACTCGGCGATCCACACGATGTTCCTGCACTCCTGCTCCTTCAGCTTGACGTAGGCGTAGAAGACGCTGAAGTGGAACTGGTTGAGGAAGGCCAGCTTGTTCAGCTTCACCTGTGAGGAGGAAGAGGAGGGAGGAGGAGGATGAGTGTGCAAACACCACAAAGCTGCACTCCTAACATCAGCCTACATTAACTTATTGCAGATTATGGACTCTCTAAATACAAAGCAACAATATCACAAACAAACAAGTTAAAATACTGTTGAAACCTGAAGTGAGACTGTGATCATTACAAGAGAAACAGTGTGCATCGGATATATGAATGCCTTCCCTGGAGCTCCTTAAATCTATCTTTCAATGATGAATTGAACTCTGACGTCGTCTCCTTCATGTCTCTAGCTTTGTGTAGAGAGCAAAGTTTAACCCTCCATTCATTCTCCTCATCACGAGGAGAAACAAACACTGCTGTGAGATCAGTTATATCGACATTTTAAGCCTGAAGTACCAGGATGTTCTACTGCATCCGGTCCCATTTTACAGCACACAAGCCAGCACGCTTTTCTGGCTATTCTGACCCACAATCCTTTGCAGATGCAGATATAGATATAGATATAGAGATATAGAGATATCTAGAACATCCTGGTACTTCAGGCATGCTGCGTTTGACGTACTATGTATGAGGACATCCTAAGTCTATTTGTGGCTAGGATGTGTGTTGATACGCACAGCTGGTTGCATATTCAAGGACAGTCTGTTAACACAAACAGCTGCTAACGTGGAATTAAACTTGATCACACAACACACTAAGTGATGCTTTTGGAAACGTTTCCAGAGGAAACTGAAGCTATGAAGCAGCCGTGTTCATCAGGTGTAAGAGTGTGTGTCACCTCGTGCTCAAAGAAACGGTCCTCCAGTGTTTTGTCGCCCGGGTTGCTGCCGGCTCCTTCAAACAGCAGCTTGTACTCCTGAAGAACACGAGACAAGGTTCAGACACATTGACAGTGATGGTGATCAGTACCGAGACAGACTTTAAAAACTCCACATAAACGACTGAGAACTTACTGGATAGAAATCAGCGACGATCTTGACCTGATCGTAGTCATCCGCCCGGGCCAGCTGAGCAAGGCCTTCTGGGTAAAGCTTGCCGCAGTGGGGGAAGAGCTTGGCTCGGTCCTCCTTGGACAGCTCGGTGCCGAACGAGTTGATGGTGATGATGAAGGCTCTCCTGTCGGCCTCGAACTGCAGCGGAGACGGCAAGGTGAGCGGAGGAAGTACAAGAGACCGACTTCCACCCGCAGACAGGAACACTGAGCGTGTTCATACGATGTTAATTATTTACCGTTTAACCCACCGTAAGAGTTCTGACGGATTTATGCCCAGTTAAAAGAAATCCTGTAAAAAACATTAAGTTGTGAGCGCCTCAGTGAAACTATGAAGTCATGATTGTTTCATCTGAGACCAACAGTCATGTGACAACAAACCAGAGAAACTTTGACTGAACTACAGGAAGTGAACACAGAGAGGAGAGGAGAGGAGAGGAGAGTTTGTTGTTTGTTTCTATGATTGATGTCATCATAACTGTGTTATTCTGCACTGAAGACATGTTCTCGTTCTCTCTACTTCTAGTCATGATGGTTCTGGTTCTATAGAGGAGCAGGACTTTATGTCACTGTGAAGATCAAGACCACGGAGAGGAACATGTGACAGGAAGCTGCTTGGGGTTCCCGTTTAGAGCTTTGAGGGGCGTACCTACAGATCTGCTCCGTAGCTTCTATGAATTTCACAGATTGTGAATCGTCCACCAGCTGAGTGCGTTTACCTGCATTGTGTTTTAAACAGAGACTCACCTCCAGAATAGGACACATGGTGTCAGCCGTGGTTCCTCCGAGGTTGGAACAGAACTTGTAGAAACCCTCCAGGTAAGCCTGAGAGGAGACGGTTCAAATGTTCATTTAGTCAAACAATAAATACACAAATTCATGAACAAAATCATTGCAGCTCTTTAAAATGTATTATCAAAGTAGAACTTGTATTTCAATTGATATCATATTGCAATTTATACAACTGTCAATATCAACTAAATATATTCAATTGTTGGAATCTTGTATTATGTATAGATGTCTTATAATCTTAATCTTCTGCCTATCGTCTTAGTTTCTCTTCATTAAATGTATCCCATTTCTTCTCTTGCCCCTTTCTTTAAGCACTCACATTAAGGAGTAAGTTAATCATTAATATGATCATAACTATAAAATGCTTTACCTTGTAAAGTGTATTACGAATTATTTCAATGTTCATCTCGTCCAAGTCCTGTTCAGATATGCAGTCCTGGAAGAACGCAGCTGAGAAGAAAAGAAAGTCAAAACTTAAAGCTTTGGCGCCAGCTGCTGTTCTGCAGGAGATATTACCAGTTATCAATATTTCAGTGTTCACACACCAGACTCCATTCACATAAACAGCAATTCTACCTGGCAACACACCGGAGTACACATACGATACAAACCCACTTCAAAAAATCTGTTATTTCCAAACTCAGCACAGCTAACGCTGACTCAGCAAGCGCTAACCTTCACATTATTCATAACCGTATTATCATAACCATATGCTTTTTGCTAACGACACAGAGTACACACCCAGGGGCGTGTCCACCAGGATGGCGTTGTAGAGCTCGGCGGGGGTCTGGGCAATGTTGACCGCCTCCATCTGCTCGAAGCTGCCCAGCGGGTGACACTTGGGCACCAGCTCGGAGATGGCCCGCTGGTGGAGGGTGCCGGTGATCAGCAGGATGACGTTATCGATCATATAGCTGTACCTGAACACACAACGTGGGAGGAGAGAAAAAAAAAAAAAAAAAAAAAGAGAAGCCACGTTCATCTCGGTGGTATTTATCTGGTAGCAGATTCTCCATAAACGGCTGTCAAGTCTGGAACATTACCAACAGAAATACAGATATAAAGTCCTTCACACAGCGGTTTGGTGCTGGATGAAAGCAAAGCAGAGCTGAACCCATTCGTCCACAAGTTGTACTGTAAACCAAGGAGTATTGGTGTATATGTATTTCTGTATGGCGGTATGTTTGTTGTGTATTTTTATTGTATTTCCACATTTGTAGTGTATTGTTGTTTTATGATACAGAAGGCTGTATATCTGATTTACACAAGTTAGAAATCAGCAACAGCTATAAACTCTGTTTATAATGTCCTTTAAATTCAATATTTAAAATGATCAGATAGGGTTATAAATAGCTCATACAATATAGTGTACTTTACTTCACTACCAACTGATTAAGCTTAAATAAACATTTGGCATTTACAGCCAGTCCATTTTAGTACAGAAATAAAACAGACAACCCACCAAGACATCTAAAGCCTTCAAATATGAAAGATGTACGAACCCTAAAACCTTAGTGTGTGAAAAATATGACTAAATGTGCTAAAATGATTTTAATACAGCCCATTTATTCATAATTCAGTTGGGGAAGGGCCCCGAGTTTATCATAACTTAATTCACAATAAGGAATACTTAAAGTAACGTTGTCTTGAGTCCTTATTTTAACCTTAAATGAATTATATCAACCCTCAACCCTTCTATCAAATCTGTACCCTGAACAGTTAGCTGACATTTCTATTACAATGTGAGGTTTTAACCTACTAAGAACATTTAGTCACCTTTATTTCAGCGTCATTGTAACGGATTTAGAGACAGGGACCACTTAGTCCCTGCTGGTGCATTCAAGGACAACAGCATTTGAATGGTGTTTATGTTTGCTTTATTTCCCCCCCCCCCCAATGTCAGAACTCATCAATGGATTGCTTTACAGCATCAGTACACAGATGTCAGAGCACACTTGAATGCACCATTGAGGTTCTAAAGCAGCAGGTGTAGTACCACAAGACAACACAAAGATGAGAACGGTGACTGAATAATCATTCTTATGAAAACCAACTGGGAAATGAATGTGTTTTATAAAATAACATAATAGTAATGACTTGCACTTTATTGACGCTTTATTCAAAGACAGTCAAAGGTTGTTGTGTGGAAAACTCTCAGGCTGAATTTTAGGGAAATGTATTTAAAGTGTAAGACATTAGTTTTATGATGTAATGGTGCGGTCTTAAAGATGATAACACCTGCACATGCAAACATCACTGACAAGCAGCGTACAACTCAACCGAATATTTTAAAATCTATTTACTGCAACTTAGCTACGTAAGAGAATGTTAACTTGTAATGTTATAGTTCAATAAGTTGTTTTAACACGACGGCTTTTTGCTTACGTGATGAAGTCCATGAAGCTGGCCAGGGGCTCGTACGACTGGTTCCTCATGTGGCGAAACTCCACCACCATCTTCTCCTTCAGCTTGTCGTCGATGACGGACACGGTGAGAGGAGACGCCTCGTTGGCCAGGAAGCTGCCATAGTCTGTGCTCTGCAGGTGGAGCTTCAGATCTGCAGGAGAGACGCACGCCGATCAGAACAGTGCGGGAGGAACCTAAAACCAAGCTGCAAGACGAGGAGTGAATCCTGGAACGTTCCTAATCATCAACAAACTCTGGTGTCTCACAACATGACTCAGCAGAACCATACCACTGTATCGACAGCTGATTTCATACAAATGATGCACACTTTATATTGCTGCTGACATTCTCCAAAGCACTGCAATCTTTTGAAGGATGATTTTAATCTCTTTCCACCGGATTTATGACGTCCACTTCTCTACGCACAGCAGTCCATTTCACTGCTAACACCACGGTTAGCCTGGTGAGGACATGACAGACACGCGCTACCTCCAAGTCTACTTCAGTCTAATTTTAAAACGCTAAATTCTTTGCTACCGTTACATCTAGAAACCACACTGGGGCCGAGCCAGCGTTTTAGAGGCGCTATAACAGAGACAGTTCAAACTAAAACGGCTTCAGCAGCTCTATTCAAAACTCCAGGGTTATGTTTTAGTCCAAGCAGAAACAGAGACCGCTGAAAACGCTTCTTGATTGTTTATATCGGTTTTGCAGCGTCCAACATCATCAGCCTCAACTACAAGTCGTTCATTTCAACATCGATAACAAATTATGAGTATTGATGACTTTGTTGTCTATGCGAGCAGCTGTTAAAATAAGACAAAGATTAGAGACCTCGTCAGCTTTCCTCATGAGTTTGAGTTGTTTTCCTCTAACTTCCAGGCAGCCAATGCTTTTAAATTCACCACGATATGAAATGCAATGTGTAGACTTGTCAGTGCATGAAATGCACAAACTGTCACAGTGAACATTATTGTTTTGTGGTACGGCATAATGTTTGTATGAATCGGCACGATAACGGCAACAATACTATAAATACCTGCAGAACATATGACTGCTGAACTGTTGAGCTCATCACTTGGCTCTTTATTGGCACCACTCTGGTCCACTTTACCTTTATACTTCCTCTACTTCCTGTTTACACCGGCACACACTGCTGTTCACAGATCTAATTTATCCAGTCTGTAGTACAGTTTGTTCATTATCACTACTGTACACCACTTTACCACAGTATTACAGTTGACATTTCATGTTTTTTAAAAGTGCTTTAACAACGAAGCAGCAAAAGTAAGACAGTAATAACAATAACAGAAAGCTCAGTGAGACAGTCAATACAAATAAACTAATATATATATATTAATGACCATAATAAACTGCGCTGGGTGTCAGTGCTATACAGCTAGCTGAAGCTAATGTTACATACTATTTGGTAACAAACTGCAGTATTTAACGTAATTGTGAAAATCTCTTCCTACGTTGATTTCACTTCCTCTGAAAAAAGTCCACTGATGCATTTAGCTTATGTTAGCTACCTAGCTAGCTGGGATTTAGAGGATATCAAGCTTTAGAAAACATATCTCGTGTACTATTTAACATTTAGTCACTTACTGTCGATGTGAAGCTTAATGACTAGCACTTAGTGACAACAATACCAAGTAGAATGTTGATTAATGTGTGATTATAAGCAGCTAACTAGCTCTCAAACTGACAGCTAACGGTTAGCTTGAATTAGCCCTGAGCAGGCTAGCTGTTAGCCGTTAGCTAACATCTGTTTTTAACTCACCTTCCAGAGTCTCACACTGAACGAGGTTTAAATAATCCGCCTGGGACAATATTCCCGCTTTGAACCCTCTGACCAGCCCCTCCAGGTAGCCGTTATCAACGTTGAAGTATAGCTCGGAGAAAGGCATCCTGGCTGACCTCAGATCCGTCTCTGCTACTAGAACCGTCCGTCCGGCTGTTCAGCGTTAGCATCAGCTGACTGTAAGTATCAGCTGACTGAACCACGTGACCACCATCTGACCTGTCATTTGCTCGTGTGCGCGCGCGTGCACGTGTATGTATGTGTCTGGGCGTTTGAGCACAGTTATTAGCTTTTTAGCCACTTCTGTTTCTTATTACTAGGACACACACGTATATATATATATATATATATATATATATATATATATATACACAAACATATATATATAAACATGTTTATTACTGTAGGTACACCTAGCTTGATTTAATGTAGTCTAATACAACAGTCCTGCAATAAATCCTTCCTTCATGAAGGTTTTAATGTGCAGATTTTGCTGTTGAATTGTTTTTTATTAAACTAAAAGATGTCTAGTATGTTTTCTTCCCCATTTGTATCAATGACTAATATAGACAATGTGTTCTGCGTCTACAAAGTTCATTGTTTAGCCAATTTAAGGTTACGACTTGGTTAAGGTTGAGTCAGGGCTAAAACTTTATACAGATAACTGTAACTTTATAAGCAACAATCAAAGTTAAAGTTTTGGGGAAAAGAAACACCTTTAGTTACCTGAGGATTGTGTGGGTGTGGTTTAACTAGATTTACAGAAACGTTGCATCACCTTTTTTCAACGAAGCCCCATCTTCATTCCAGTAAGAATTAAAAAAAGATAAATGACCAAATCTGTTGTAACTTTTGAAATTGCGTCTTCATGAAGGACTCCATTGCGTATATGTTTTCAGAGCCTTTGAGACAAAGTCAAAGGTTGGGGTTTGGTAAGTAACAGTTAATAACCATTTGATTACCATCATCTACGTCAGCGACACATTTAGCCTGCAAACAGGTTGGACTGGTTAGAGAATGTTATGAATGAAGTAAGGAGGCTGTGACAGTAAATCAGACACACACTCTCAGGAACAGACGGAGAGAATGAAGAGTGTTTTCTATTTGTTTACTTTTCTTCAGTGTTTTGAAAAATATGATATGGATGTGAGTGAAGCAGGTAAGAATCTTTACCCACAAATTAAATGTAATTATTGTGACATACTGCACTGTAAAAAGGTAAAATACTGGCAGCTGTGGTTGCCAGTACTTCAATGTGAAAAATTAACAATGTATAAAACATCACGGTATGGTGGTTTCTTTGCAACCGTAGATTTCACAGTTGAGAACTGTTTTTTGACAGTGACAAACAATTTTTGTTGTTTTTTACAAATTTTGAATGAAAAAAATACAGGGCTGGCTCTTAAATGTATAATAAGTTATATTTCCGTTGCCAGCACAATGGTCCGTATATTTAACAGTAACCAAATGTATTTTTCTTAAATTATAAATGCAAAAATGATGGTATTGATTGTTGTTCATATTACAGTGTATTTCTGTAATCAGTACAATGTTTAGTACAATTAACAATGACTAAATGTATTTTTTTCCAATAAATAAATGCAGAAATTATTGTTTGGGCTGATACACATTTATGGTGTTTCACTGTCATAGAAACTGAATTTAACCTGTTTAGAATTAACGATCTCTTACTGTAGTGATTTGCAGACATTTGCTACAGTGTGGTTGGAGTTCTCACCAGGCTTGTGTTTGTAAAGGTTTACCCTAAAACATGAATGTGTCTGAGGAGAAAGAGGACGGCGTCTCTGCCTCTGAGCAACATGGAGACAGGAGGTGAGATGCACTTTTCTCTGACTGTTTATGACTGTTTGTCTTCTCAGGGCTGTAAAATGTAACTTGTACTCTCTATATTGTGTTGAAGCCCAGTGAAGCAGGAGAGACCAGAGTCATATGGACCCAGCTGTTTGTCCATGAAGAGTGGCTGGTCTATTAGTGAACCTCCAGAATTCAAGAATGGAGGGCCGATTGTTGAGCCAAGGTAAGAATTTAAAGTTTGGTATCGCAGTTGACTTGTATTATATCTGATTTAAAGTGAGCACAGAGAAACTTTCTGCTTCTGCAGATTCATGTGAACAGCCTCCTAGTGTTAAACTGTGCTCATTTATAATTCTTTTTGTAAATTTTGGTCTATTTTGTTTCCATAACTCGTCTTCTTTCAGACTAGTGGAAAGAAAACATCCACAATACACATTCAGGTGTTTATTTTACTACTTTGTTTATTTACGTCTGTAGATTTCTCCTAAATTCACCAAAGGTCACAATTAGATAATGTCTCATTTACATATTTAAACACAACATTTCAGAAAACATGTAATACAAAACAATAATCGTCTTAATGTGAGTAATGAACTGGTGAAGCTTCATGGTGATATCTATTAGTTCATTTTACCACATTCACCTGTAGACTAAAGATATGTCCTATTTGACTGTAATATTAAATTCAAACCTGACTTTATCCAATGTTCACTTTTCTGTTCTGGAAATTAGCAAATTAGCACAAATTTGATGAGATAAATCCTCATTTGTACATTATAACATACATTTTCAGACAGCTTTAATACAAACAAATCTACTGGGGAAGCTTCATGGTGATCCATCTATTAGTTAAAATGTTTTAATAACTTATAATAAGCACTTCATCCTGCTGGTAACAACATACCTAATTGTTAAGTAGGCAGTGTGCAGTACATACAGTACGAGGATGTAAGATGAAGTACGATTTCGAACACAACACCTGCATTCCTACCTCAGGTGACATCAACAAAGCCGTATTATTTTAGTCATCAGTTACTGGAAGGTACCTGCTGTCGGTCAACATTCTTCAGAAAAAACGAACGTTCATTTCCTCCAACAATTCAAAGTACGGGTTAATCGTCTTTTGCAAAGGTTGAGTGGGGGGAGATAATGGATGTATTTGTCAGGTGGACTGAAGGTTGCAGACTTTAAAAAATTGAAATCAAATGTTTTTCACTCAAGACATCCACAAATACACAGCAGAATACAACACATCTGTGTGTGTGTGTGTGTGTGTGTGTGTGTGTGTGTGTGTGTGTGTGTGTGCGTGTGCGTGTGTATGTGTGTGAAATGACCTCATGTTTTCTGGGTCTGCAGACCTCACCGGAAGAGGTCAGAGGTTCTCAGTGAACGGCCTGACCTGAAGCACCATCAAAACCTGGTCTCTGTTTTCATGGTATGGAAAAGCACAAAAGCACTTTCTACTTTTACTTTTCAAACATTGAACCTTTGTGTTCGGAAATTGTACGCTCTGATTTTATATGAACATTTCTGTGTTTCTGTCGGATTTAAATACACACTTTCAACATTTTCAAGATCAACTAAAGAAGACTGAACTTCCTTTGTTCGTCTTTCTTTGGCACTGTCACTCAAAGGCATCCTCTGCCTGGAAAGCACCATGCAATCCAACCTGTTAAATCACATCGTGACAACCAGATACTGGTCACAAATTGGCTGAGCTGCAAGTTGATTATGTGCTAATGTGATACGGTTCATAGCGGTTGTGAAAAGCAGGTGTCACATGATGTGGCAGCTGTATTCATTCTCTATCAGCTGATAAACAACAGTAGGTATTTGGGCTGCAGTCAGTGCAGCAGTTGCAATAATAAAAAACATTTATATTTATTTAATAATATTTTTTGCTCACTTGGGCCTGAGGAACAAGCTTTGAGAAGGTGATGATGGTGAACTTGTTCGCAAACATTTGCTTTTTTACGGAGCATCATGATCTTTCATTTTTGAGTTGAGTTTATTTCCACCTGGTGAATGTAAATTCAATAGTCACTCTCTTTTAGCTCTGTTTCTGGTCTCAACCTATCTTATACAGCTGCCTCCTACAGCCAGAAGACAAAGCTATAATAGCAGTGAAAGTGAACTAAAGCAGTTAATTTGTGTTGTAAAACCAAAACAATGAAATGAAGGACACTGTGAAAGTTCTGCATGGTACCAAAGAAATCCAGGGCTGAATTTAGATTTGCATTAATTGACCCTTTGCTAAATCCCGCCCCTAAAACAAATACTGGCCAATCATAGCGTAGCATCGTCCAGCTCTGACAACTATCCGTCTCTGCTCCATTGACTCTCATCAATGTCTTCAGATGTTCTTCATGTTCAGGCTGGTTTGGTGGATTTGGAGCTCTTCGTGGTTAAACGTTGTGTAATACTGATACTCGTTACCTGGAGAGGTTGGGACACGTTTATAAAACGTTATGTTTCTACGTAAAAACCTGTGGAGCTAACATAGTATGGTAGCACATCAATAACTAGCATTAGCACTTCTAAGCTTATTTTCTGTGATCAGTGTAGCATTACAGCAGGCTAACTAGAGAGCTATCCGCTTTAGCTAGCTAGCAGGCTAGCTTGTTAATTCCACCATGCTTTAATGCTACACTGATGGTCTTCATGTTATAGTTTTTAGATGAGTCGGCTATCAGCAGAGCCAGGTGGATATGATGTTTATTTCCATCATTGTGAGAACATTTTAAATGGTACTTTTTACTCTTTCAGCTTCTTGAAGAAAACATTGTGACTTTTGTCAAGGACGAGCTCAAGAAGTTCAAGAAAGTTCTGGGTCCAGAAGAGGGGCTGAAAGAAGATGATGACATTATGGGTCGTGAAGATGACGAGCAAAGAAACAGCAACAGAGATGCAGTTCTGAAACTCGCACTGAACTTCCTGAGGAACATGAAGCAGAAGCAGCTGGCTGACTCTCTGCAGAGCAGTAAGATGCTTTTATAGAATTACATACCGCTTCTGGAAATATGTACTTTTTCTATTAGATCTATTGAACTCCATATCTGAACCAACATTAGCCTAATGACTGAATAATTTGTTCAAAATGTGAGGTTGGTGAGTAGTTTTCACTATGCATAATTATTGCAGATTAAGGTAATTTGTGTGTTGAGAAATGTATGCATTCGTCAAAAGGTGTAATTTTACATATTTACTGCAACATCCATTGACCATCTTTCCTGTTACTTCCTCAGAAACTCATGCTGCGATTTGCCAACGTAAACTAAAGTCTAAACTGAAGAACAAGTTTCAGTGTTTGTTTGAAGGAATTGCCAAAGCAGGAAACCCAACACTTCTAAATCAGATCTACACTGAACTCTACATCACAGAGGGAGGGAGTGGAGAGGTCAACGATCAACATGAGGTCAGACAGATAGAAGCAGCATCTCGAAAAATGGCAGGTTCAGAAAGAACAATCGGATGTCGGGATATATTTAAACCTTTACCCGGAAGAGATGAACCAGTCAGAACTCTGGTGACAAAGGGAGTGGCCGGCATTGGGAAAACAGTCCTAACGCAGAAGTACATCCTGGACTGGGCTGAAGACAAAGACAACAACAGTATACAGTTCATCTTTCCATTCTCTTTCCGAGAGCTAAACCTGCTGAAAGCAAAAGAATACAGTTTGGTGGAACTTCTTCATCAACTCTTTACTGAAACCAAAGAAGCAGGAATCTGCAGATTTGAAAAGTTCCAGGTTCTGTTCATCTTTGACGGTCTGGACGAGTGTCGACCTCCTCTGGACTTCCACAGCAACAAGATCCTAACTGACGTTACAGAGTCAACTTCAGTCGAAGTGCTGCTGACAAACCTCATTAGAGGTAAACTGCTTCCCTCTGCTCGCCTCTGGATAACCACAAGACCTGCAGCAGCCAATCAGATCCCTCCTGAATGCATTGATATGGTGACAGAGGTGAGAGGGTTCAGTGACCCACAGAAGGAGGAGTACTTCAGAAAGAGATTCAGAGACAATGAGCACGGCGGCAGAATCATCTCCCACATCGAGGAGTCACGAAGCCTCCACATCATGTGCCACATCCCGGTCTTCTGCTGGATCACTGCTACAGTCCTGGACCATGTGTTGAGAATCAGAGAGAGAGCGGAGCTGCCCAAGACCCTGACTGAGATGTACATCCACTTCCTGGTGGTTCAGACCAAACAAGGGAATGCAAAGTATCACAGCAGTGTGTCGACAGATCCAGTCTGGAACACAGAGACCAAGAAGAGCATTCTCACTCTGGGAAAACTGGCTTTTGAGCAGCTAGAGAAAGGAAACCTCATCTTCTATGAAGCCGACCTGAAAGAGTGTGGCGTTGACATGGAAGCTGCCTGCATCCACTCTGGACTATTCTCAGAGATCTTCAAAGAGGAGCATGGGCTGAGCCAGGACAAGGTATTCTGCTTTGTCCATCTGAGCGTTCAGGAGTTTCTGGCTGCACTTTATGTCTTCGTGACGTTCATCAACACCGGCATCGATCTCCTGAGAAGAAGAAGCCGGTTCTTCTCAGTACAGCCTGTGCCATTACAACTCGATATCAAATTCAAACACCTCTACCAGATTGCAGTGGACAAGGCTTTCGAGAGTCCAAATGGACACTTGGACTTGTTTGTCCGCTTCCTCCTGGGCCTTTCACAGGAGAACAATCAGACTCTCCTACGAGGCCTGCTGAAAAATACAGGAAGTAAACAAGAAGTCAAAGAGATCTTAGTGCGGTATATCAAAAAGAAGATCAAGGCCAATCCGTCTCCAGAGAAGAGCATCAACCTGTTCCACTGTCTGAATGAGCTGGATGACCATTCTTTAGTGGATGAGATCCAACAGTACCTGAGATCAGGACGTCTCCTTGGAAACAAACTCTCTCCCTCTCAGTGGTCAGCGCTCGTCTTCATCTTACTATCATCACAAAAGGATCTAGACGTGTTTGATCTGAGGAAATTCTCAGCTTCAGAGGAAGGTTTTCTGAGGCTTCTGCCAGTGGTCAAAGCATCCAAAACAGCTCGGTAGGTGTTCATATACATACATGAAAGCATAAAATGTGTTGAAAATGCTCATTTCTGTGGCAGAGTTCAAACTACTTTTTCTTCTTCAGGCTGAGAGGCTGTAACGTCTCACGGGAAAGCTGTGAAGCTCTGGCCACAGTTTTCATCACCAAGAAATCTAGTCTGAGAGAGCTGGACCTGAGTAACAATGACCTGCAGGATTTAGGTGTAAAGATGCTGTCAGCTGGACTCAGGAGTCCGCACTGTAGACTGGAGATTCTCAGGTCAGTCTTTGTTGAATAGTTTATCATTTGAATGGATTAATAACCATCATTCAGATTCACGTTATTCTTGAGGAACAGTATGGTTTCTTAATTTCATTGTCTTCTGTCTGGATCTCCAGGTGATGTGCTGGTTCACTTTTACACTCATCTGTAGCTTTAGCTTCTATCTTTATCTTTTTTTACCTGTTTTCACTGCGGAATCATTTTGACATCCTGGAAATATCAATCAAAACCATATTTTAGACCCTTCTGTCTTGCTTCTCTCTGAAATTGCCTTTTCTGGTTTTACAAAAATGTGATATTTATTCTGGGGTTGCAGTTAGTGACAGTGTGGGCTCCACGGTAACGTAGCTCTAACTGCTCGGTGGAGTGGCAGCGGGGGGGCAGGGCCTAATCAAGGGTCAGTTGAGCTGAGCACAGTTTGACAGAAAGTCATACATTTTGCTAAAATGAGGGTAAGAGGAAGCATGAAATTTCCAAGCAGATTGTTAATGAATTATGAATTAATGAAGGTGTGAATCTATTATGAAGCTTTTGATGTGTTTACAGGCTTTCGGAGTGTCAGGTCACAGAGACAGGCTGCACTTTTCTGGCTTCAGCTCTCATGTCCAACCCCTCCCATCTGAGAGAGCTGGACCTGAGCTTCAACCATCCTGGAGACTCAGGATTGACGCTGCTGCGTGCTGGACTGGTTAACCCCCGCTGGAAACTGGAAACTCTCAAGTAGCATAGATTATATACTTGTGCAAATACATTATGGTTGTTGTATATATGTGCATGTGTTAGAGTGCTTTCACACCTAAACTGCTTGGTAAGTACGGTTCATTTGGACTGTTGTAAAAGCTGTCAATTAAACCAAGATGCGGCCCAAGTAGCCGAACCGAGGCCGCCTAAAAAGGTGGATCTCGATCCGCTTCTTAGCTGAATCTGCTGAGTTTGTGGTGAGAAAACCAACAAACCAACAACAAGACTTTATGATAGCAGATATGTGATTTTAGCACGATTTCAAAAGCTTAACAACAAATAAATTATTCGCACTATGCGTTCGCACCAGTCATCTTGGAGCATGTAAAGGGGCTTTTGTACAGTTCTACCTGTTAGTCACTATTCATTTATAACATGCAGTTGATTTTCACTCTAAGGATATTGATAATGCTTATATCTATTTTTTGTGAGCTATTTGTGACACCAAAGAACATAAATATACAAATCAGAAGCATTAAAGTGCTGCATAAACTTCCGCCAGTCACCATAATTTGATTTCCCGTTGTGGGTCCTGATGACGCAAGATGAAAATTGCCATAACTGTCCGATCCACGAGTTACCTGTCAACTTCATGTTTTTTCCCTTGGTCCAAACCAAATGAACCCAACTACAGGTGTGAAAGCAAACTTAGTGTCTGTTTTGATTCGTCTTTCTCTGCCATTCACAAGTCTCTACCTTTTTCCACAGGATTGATCATTGTGGAAAGTGTCGGCTGAACCCACCACCTCTTAGGTGTAAGTTAAACTTTTCGAGCGTCACTGATCTGGTTGACTAAAACCTCATGTGATAAAGGTCACTTTCTTGCAGAGAATAAGATGAGGTTTAAATTGACCTCTAATGTGTGTACGGTAATTATAAAGCTACAACAAGGAGAATTAGCTTAGCATGAAGACTGGTTTCGTCCAAAGGTAATAAAGACGTTATATTTCTACCCATACTAATCAGAAGCGAGTGACATATAATGTACATCTAACCAACGTCATTTTCAATCAACATGGAAGCTGCGTTGGTGATTTCAAAGGGCAGTCAACTTAACGCTGTGTTTTTGTGTCTTATGTCCTCCATCAGATTTCTGTGAGCTTTCACTGGACCCAACCACAGCAGACCGAAACCTCTCACTGTCCGACGACAACAGAGGAGTGATGGTGGTGAAAGAGAAGCAGCCGTATCCCGATCATCCGGAGAGATTTGACAGCTGGAGACAGCTGCTGTGTAGAGAAGGTCTGACTGGGCGTTGTTACTGGGAGGTCCAGTGGAGAGGAAAGGTTCATATCGGAGTGACATACAGAGGAATCAACAGGAGAGGTGATGACTGCTGTATCGGATGGAACGATCAGTCCTGGAGTCTGTTCTGCTCGGCTCAGGGTTACACGGCCTGGCACGATAACAAACCAGAAGACATAGCTACTGGCCCGCCGTCTCACTCCAACAGAGTAGCAGTGTATCTGGACTGGCCTGCCGGCACCGTGTCCTTCTACTGTCTCCCCTCCGTTGTCTCTTCGATCAGACAGATCCACCTCCACACCTTCCGCTGCACTTTCACTGGAGCCCTCTACCCTGCGTTTGGGTTTGGACGAATGGACCTCGGTACTGACTCGAGATTGTCACCATCCTCAGTTTATCTGTCACAGATTGAAGACTAAATGTGTCTTCCTGTGAAGAACAGTGGTTCCCAAACTGGGGGGCCTTAAGACAGACTAAAGCCCTGATCAGACAGGAGTGCGTTTTAGCAGCCTAAAACTTTTTGTGATTGTTCTCAATGAGAGTGAAGCGTTTTGCGTATTACTTCTGCGTAGCTGAGCGCCTCACGTTTTTCTGCTCTCTGCTCCTTGTATTTTTGCAAGAGAGCCCCTAACAACGCCTCTAACTGAAAAAAATTAACCGGGTTTTTATTTTTATCATTGTGGCGATGATACCCGGAGCTAAATGACTTTACCCGCCGTGGTTACTGTAACCAATGATTCACAGCAATTGAAAATAACTATGTTTTCATTCGAGTATAATCACCTGAACCTAAGAATCGTTGTACTATATACAGTATATTATGAGGTACATAAGGAGCAGGTCCGTTGCCGCTACGTTTCTACAGTAGCCCAGAACGGACAAACCAAACACTGAATCGAGAGAAAAGCTTTCACGCTTTTACGTTACTGTAAGGTCACTTTAGTTCTCCAACGCGCTTTGAAAGGCAGGAGTGAGCAGAGGAGTATTCAGATTCCACTAAATCTTACTAACAGCTCCTTTAAAATTGTATTGTGGTAATTACCTAACAACAACAACAACAACAACAACAACAACAACAACAACAACAACAAAAGACGCAGCAAATTGCAAAAACATTCTGTCTGATCGGGCATCTAAAAGGCAGTGTGGTGCACCTCAAATTTTTTACCTGCAAAACGCTCTGTCTGATTATCACCATGGGGTGCAAATAAAGGTGCACCACATTAAAACGTCAAAATCACTGTATGCATGTATATATATATATATATATATATATATATATATATATATATATATAGATATGTGTGTTATATGTATGTATATGGGTTTCCAGGGGCACAGTAGTTAGAAATTGTGACTGTAAGAACAAGTGAAAGATCAAAGAAATGGGATACCAACGAAGAAGTCCGATACAACAGACCTGAGCACGTTAAAAGAACTAAAATCCGACTGTGTGACTCACCAAAACGCCACATCTGCAGGTGAAAACTGATGCACCAATAAGCTCAAGAGATATCTCAGTATCACTCTTTAGCAGAGCTACTGAACACTACACAGAATCAGTTGTCTGCTGTCTGTTGGGAGTGATTGATGCAGGCGACGGCAATTAAGTCTGGCCTCAGACCAATGTTTTTCTAAGCCATTGGAGCATAATCAATGGCTGATTTTAGAAATGGATTGATAAAAAAATGCAATGGGAATTTGTGAAAGGACGTCACAGAGTGTCTTGTTGTAACTGCATAGTCAACTGCTCCGCCCTGAGGTTGGATTGGGTGAGACAGTCAGAAACAACAACAGCTGGAGTTGTGTGCCGGCTGCAGGTTTTATATTACGTTGCGTTATCGACTAAAATAGTAGCGACACATAATCTGATGTCTTCATTTAACAACTTGCAACAAAGAACGCCTTGAAAGACGTGTGGCATGTGTGGGAGCAGGGTTTACGCTGGACCTTTCTTTCACATCATGTCTCTAACGAATTGTTCCTTTTCAACCCAGATCTGTTGGCGTTTAGCCTTTCAAAAACAATGTTTGCACTGCCGTCACAAAAATGTCATAATGAAAAATGTCATTCTGAAAAAACCCACATTCGGTAAAATCTAAAATGTAATCTCATTTTATATAAAAGCATTGAATCATTTAACCTTACATCATACTTTTTATTCATTGTTTAATATCCGTATTTATCTGCACAGCATTATAATCTGAAACTGCTGACTGAGTGATTAATTATTTCTCCTTTTATTGATATTAGTTATACTGATACAAGAACTCTCAACTCTGTGAGGAAATGCTGACATGAGCACAAACAGTAACGGACGGATAGAAGGATTCATTTAAACTAACTATAGAAATGTGTTTATTTGCTACAACATGATTTAATGTCATGAATGTGTTGCTATTTCATTTGAAAAACTAACACGAATTAAAGATTCAACCAAACTGAAATATGTTGTTAGTGACGTTTAATTTGTACATTAAATTCAGTCTAACAAAGTGTGATAGTCTCAGTGTAGTTTAGTTTAAAACCATCCATCAGCTCTTTCCTACGCTCGGGGTTAATGATGTCCCAAACTAACATCATTATGACATGTTTTTGACTGATGTTCTCACTTCTAGCGTGGTGTATATACTATTGTATTGATCTAATGTATAATGATCAAGAGGGAGGAATGTAATGCTATTTTTACTTAGTATATGTTTCTACTTAGTATAGATATTTCTACATAATCAGTATACGTATAGTATATATTTCTACTTAGTTTACTCTGAACTCAGCTGAACTTCACTGTGTTAGCGTACAGGCCCAGATGTATCTTTCTTATTGTTGCAAAGAAGAGTTCCCCGTTGATAACAGAGATAACTGTAACTGTGTTGTACGGGAATGTTCCAGCCCCAAGGCCTTCATGCCGTCAGGCCGCTTCTTCTGGTTGCTGGCCTTTTGTTTCTCATTGTTGTTTCCATCCGTCTGAGACCAAAATGTCTGCAACATCGGCCCCCACCGTCGCTCCTTCTGTATAAAGAAAGCGTGTTCACTCTACACCTGGTTCTTCCTCACTGAGACGTACGCACTCTGCTGTGATGACTGAACCTTCTCTGTGCAGAGAATAAATAAAAGACAACCTCTATAAAGGTAGGTAAAGTATTTACTTTATTTATTCATATAAAATAATTATTATATTATATAATATTTGTATTATACATTATTATTATTATCTGACCTCAGCATCCCTACCCCTCGTTATCCTACTTCAGGGTGGAGTCTTCCTCCACTCTTCAAATTTTATGAATTATTGTTAAATTCTAATGAAGTCTCTCCTGATTGAAATATGGATCAAGCTCCAAAAATGCATTTCCTACAATGCAACGACAAAGAATTGTTCTCGAGACCCTCTGTGTCCGGCAAACATCGACATCTTTCAAACGCCCTGCCCCTTATAATGCAGGTTTCCATTCATATTCTGAGCCAATAGTCACGCAAGTCATTTTCTCAAGTCAGGCCACTTTGTTAAACAGCTATTATTCTGCTTTCTTGTAATCTTTTGTAGATCCCATTGTGTATGGTGTTATTTCGTGTTTTTGTACGGCTGCTACCTGAGGCAGGCTTCCTGGTAGGACAAAGGTCAAATAAAATAAATGATTATAAAAGCTTAGAAAAGAAAATTTCAAGTCACGCAAGTAAAAAATGGGAATCTAAGAAATGAAAGTGCAAAGTTTAAATATCGGGATGATGTCTCAACACAATGTGGGTGGAATACATATAAAATGTATATTCACAAGTTTGATATTCTGCATGCCTCTGCCTCAGCCTTATCAAAATCATTACAATCTTACTCTTTGTTTTTAATTGGACTTCATAACCTTTCATGCAATGCGGCTACATTTGTGATATTTGACCAAGTGAAGTATTTTGATCACAGTTGTGATACATAAAGCATCCTGAACGACAGCATCTCTTATGACTGATGATTGTGTTGAAATGAGTAAGCTTCAAACACACAATAACCGTAATGTCGTTACACTGTTACACAGCAGAATGAGATACATGTTGATGCTGTTAAAAGTATTTGGTTATTAGACTTAAAGCAATGTGAAATAGTGACGCTGCAGTTTGTTTCCCTACAGGACAAAATGAAGAAAGACTTTTCTCTGGAGAGGAGCGACAGTCGAGGAGTCTCTTTTGTAAGTTATGAACAAACACCAGCTCACTGCTGGCCTCTTCATGTGGCGTTCACTGCCTGAGATCTTTTCCTCTTCTACTGTTTCTCCTGCAGCCTGTGTGTTGATGCAAACTTGTTTGATCCACTTTTTGAGACTCTCTTTAGTTGGAATATTGACAAAAGGCTCTCTCTCTCTCTCTCTCTCTCTCTCTCTCTCTCTCTCTCTCTCTCTGACTCTTCAGCGGGAAGATGTTTTCCGATGGAGAACTGGATCTGTGGCCTCCGTACCAGAACATACTGATTTGGACAGCAGAGTAGAATCCTACCCGACCCTGTTTGGAAAATACAGCCAGAGCCTTCAGACCCTCAAACCCTTCCGCCGGTCCTCATCTCAGTCAGTGTCATCGATGACATCATTTATCTTGTTTTGATGCTCTTATATTCCACTTGATAAATACATGTAAGGTGACATGTTAGCTGACAGATACTGTACCAATGTCTCCATGTCCAGGTCCCACCCTATGGACAGTGCAGGTTTCCTGTCCTTTGCAACCTTTGCCTGGATGACCCCCTTGATGTGGGCCTTCTTCAAGAATAAGCTGGACGTGAGCTCTCCCGAACTGTCTCCTTTGGATGTAGCCGACACCAGCGGAGAAAGGTTGGACACTCTTGTTGATTCATGGGCCCCCCCCATGTCTCTACTGTCATTTGATGCAATGAAGTACAGGACAGTATATTTACAGATTTATAGATATTTAAGTATAGCTGCTGAAATTCTTATCTGGAAAATGACTCGTGAAAATGCAAGGAAGTTATGAATTAAGTCGTGTGTGTGTCACTGTTTTACTCGAGTAATAATTGAATAAGGCTCACATTGTGTGTTGTGCACAGACTCCACAGACTGTGGGAGGAAGAGGTGGCCAAGGTGGGCCTGCAGAAGGCCTCTCTGGTCCGAGTATTCCTTCGCTTTCAAAGAACCAGGCTGATTCTCTCCGTCACTGTTGGTGTCCTTGTCATGGTGACACTGTTTCTGGGCCCGGTAATTACATTAGAAGCTGCATATCAGTGCCAGTACCAGTGCTTCCTCTATTGGATACCAGATCCAGGAGCCTTTTCTGAGGTTGTCGCTAATGTCACATTCAATGTAAATGTGCACAAAGGTTTTATGACACAAATGTAAAGGTTGTTTAATATTGAATGCTCTTTTGTGTGTCACAAACATCTCTGTCCTCTCAGGCTGTTCTGGTCTATGAGATCCTGAACTATACTGCGGACCCAGAGAAGTCCACAGTATCCTACGGTGTTGGTCTGTCCTTCGCGTTGTTCGCCTCTGAGTTCTCCAAAGCCTTCCTGGTATCCTTGATGTGGACGTTGAACCTGCGCACTGCAGTCAGACTGAAGGGAGCCTTCTCTTCAGTGGCCTTTCAGAAAGTCATCTCTCTGCGGGCGCACAGCGACATCTCAATGGGAGAGGTAGGGTGCCTGCATTTCTCTTGGAAACCGATCTCACACACCAAAATCGCTTTGGCCATCGTCAGAGAGATCTTCTTTCTCTTGGTGAACTGTACAAAGTAGTCTAAAGAAAATATATTTTCAATATACCTCGTGTCTGTTAGATTTGTGGAGTTTAACATGTAGACTGGGGTCAGTCCAAGACTTCAGCAGCTGAAGTGAAGGCAGGAATTAAATGTTGATGGTGTGGTTATTTGTAATGTGGACATACATCAAGTGCACATCTAGTTGGAGTGACAGGGGACGACTGCATAATGCCTTTCTTCAATATATAGATTTATTTTATCAAACATTTTGGTCGACAGATTTGCATTTTTAGGGTTCTAGCTCCGAAGGGATAACCCGTGAGCTGGAAACAGCAAGAAATAGAAACTTGGCCCAATAACTGGACACGATGTGCTTACAAGAAATCTGACTTCAATCGGCCAAAGGATGGCGCTGGAACGTGCCAACACACAAAAACACATTTTGGGAAGGCCACGACCTTTCGCCACCCAGTCAGATTGAATTGAAATTTGACAAATTTGAAAGTTCACCCACTACATTTATCTCCATTTGGATTTTTTAAAATAT